GATGGTGCTAAATGTTTCCTGGGTGTCAAAATCACCCTCAGATGAGAATCAAAGCCTTTTCCCTCACTCTGTAATCCATTCTACTAGGAAGTCCTGTGGGCCCTACCTCCAAAATACGTCTCCAATCCCCATTTCACTCCATCTCCATTGATATCACCATGGTCCAAGCCACTCTCGGGCCCTCCCAGATGCCTAACAGTCCTGGTGACCCCACTTCCATCTGCATAGCATGCCTCTCACAGGAGCCAGTAGGATCTTTTCGAAACACAAATCATATCATTCTCTGACTTAAAACCCTCCAATGATTCTCCATGTTATTTTTTCTTTCTTTTTGAGATGGGAGTCTTGCTCTGTCGCTCAGGCTAGAGTGCAATGGCGCTATCTCAGCTCACTGCAACCTCCACCTCCCAGGTTCAAGCAATTCTCCTGCCTCAGCCTCCTGAGTAGCTGGGATTACAGGCATCTGCCACCATGCCTGGCTAATTTTTGTATTTTTAGTAGAAATGAGGTTTTGCCAGCTTGGCCAGGCTGGTCTCAAACTCCTGGTCTCAATTGTTCCACCTGCCTTGGCCTCCCAAAGTGCCGGGATTACAGGCATGAGCCACTGCACCTGGCCTGGCTGGGCCTTCTTAACCAAAAGTGAGAAAAGATACCTTTTATGAATAGTTAGGGGAAAAAATCCCAAGCCATGTGCTTTCAATGGGTGTCTCAACTCAGTGAATGCTCCCACCAGAAGGCAGGATGGAAGGTACCTTCTTCCATTTCCCACCTGCAGGGTCACACTTGTACCCAACAGCCGAGGAGGGTTCCTTTCTTAGCCACATAGTAAAGAGCCTTAAGATTGTGTCATGTGGGAGCTGTTTTGTAAATGTGGGTGCTTTGCAGTAGACAAAACTCCCCTGGCTGAGTCCTTCGAACAGAGGCAAAATTGCAGCTTCTTTAGAGGGGTGAGATGGGGGTAGGGGGATTGGCTCCAGCCCTCACTTTATTCTAGAGACCACCTAGATGGCTTCTAGCAGGGTAAGAGGGAAATGTCACCTGTAAAGGGGTGAAGGGACTGTACCAACGCCAAGGACAAAAGTAGCAGCAGCAGATGTCCTACATTTGTTCAATACTTTCTAGAAATTTCATCCACTCTAGAATTCAGATTGATGCCGACTGAGCATCATTATAAATCGAGAAGAAAGGCCCTCACGCAGATATCTAATGATTGTCAGTCTCCATTTGATTATGGGTCTCCAACAACACAGAGCAAGTATGAATACAAAAACTACTGAGAAAGCCCATTCACCACCTAAAGTTTTATTCTGAGGAGAGATGTTTAGTCTCAGTTTACGATGAAAGGTCGGAAGAGGAGTACGTTAAGAAAACACACCAGGGTTCCATCACATTTTGCATTCAGGTTGCCTGAGGGAGAGCTGGGATTTATCACTTTAAAGCGTGTACATTTTAGAGTCCAGCTATAAAAGGCTTTTTACACCCTTAAGATGTTAAAGGTTATTCAGTATATTTACGTGACCTAACTGTGGCTTATTTAGTTTTATGGCCTTAGATATTTAAAGCATTATTAGGCATTTGCAAAATATTTCAAAATGCATTTTCAGGGGGAAAATGTGTTGTGTTAGTGGCACTAACATAATTGAAACTACAAAACTGTTCCATTCACAGACATAATAGATATTGTAATTTTAACTCAACATCTGCTATGCAGGTTGCTGGTGAGAACATTTGTCTAAAGTCTGCTCGTTGATACTGAGGACGGGTGGCCATCAGTGCTTAGTTCATGAGGAATTTTACGGAGATTTCCATTTCAGGATGTAGTAAAACTAACTGTCCAAACAGCAGGCAATTTTCATGCTTGTACAATGTCAAGCAGCCCAGAGTCCCTTGCGAACTGCAGTTGCCTCCTGCGCCATACATGGGAATGCTATTTTTCTGTACACAGTCGGTATTTAGTAAACACTATTGATCAAATTGGCATGAAGTAAAAGGAGCAAAGCTTCCTTCTGAGAATCCCCACAGCATCAGAAAACCCAAGTTTGTCTTATATAGGTGGGAGTGGACCCCTTACGTTTCTTTTTATTTTATCATTTGTCTTAGTAAAATCTGTTGAGTATATACAATGTCAGCAAGGGAAGGAGGCGGTTGCCTCACTGTACAGAGAATGACATATTGATTCTGAATCCGTTCCAGTCAATTAGATGATACTTTTAAATGTTTCCTTGTGCAACATCTGTGTTCCCTTTTCTACCAATAAAAAAAGTATTAATGATTCTTTCAGAAGTGTCGGAGGAAGGCTTCCAGATTCCAGCTACAATAACAGAACGATATAAAGTCGGAAGAACAATAGGAGATGGAAATTTTGCTGTTGTCAAGGAATGTGTAGAAAGGTGAGAAGAACATCATTTGCATCAAACCTTAAGGGTTACATTTGGCGTTATGTTTTCCGAGATTGTGTCTCTATTTCCAGTCTGTGGTACATATGGAATAAGTTAGTGTCTCAACCCCACATGCAAAAGAATTTTTTGCAAAAGAAAGACCCATCTAACAACAGATTTGAAAAATGTAGTGATACCTGGGGACAATCTATAAATTAAAGACTTTGATTTTTTTAAATGTACTCAGAGAAACATTGCCAGCTTTTCAGGTAAGCCTTTTTATTGTTGTTAAAAACCATATTGAATAGTTTTTCTCACACACTTTTTATGATGTATTTTGTAGAGGTCAGAAAGTTCTTGTGAGAGTTTATGTCTGTAATGCATACTAGCATAAGATGAAATGCATCAACAATAATCTTGAAAAGCTTTAAAATACGTATGTACTGACCCCAACAGAAGTGGTATTTAATACATTAAGACGTATTAAAATGAATGAACCCGGTACTCTGTGGGCCAAAGGGAAGGGTTTATCCTGAGGTTCTAGATATCTAATCGAGGACATTAGCTGGTGGCTACTAGATGAAGAAGTGACAACTAATAAAGTTACAACCCAGCTACGGTGGCCTCAAGCCCTCCACTCGGTATCACGTTTGGGTTGCTTTTCCCGGGCAGCTGCTTGCTTTAGGGAACCTGGTCAGCCAGCAGCTTCTCAGGGCTGGTGGGCAGAATATTGAAAAGTTGGGGGAACTAGCCTCTTTCCTTGAGGGACTGTGTCCTCTGGCTTTCTGGGGGCTGGTCTGGGGTGTACATACTTCCTTGTCACCTTTCTCTGCCCGCAATAGGGCTGGACACCCTGCCCGTTCGTAATCCTCTGAGAATCATGCTGCTAAGCTCCACTCAGAGAGGATGACTGAGGAGCGAAGACAGACGAGAAGGCTTTGGCCTGGAAGATCTAGATCTTACCTCCTCTACGGGCTTTGATTCAGAAGCACAGGTTCCTGCCATATTAAAGCTGGCAGTCTCTGCAGAGCCCCACATCTCATGAGGGTTCTTCATTTGGCCAATAGTCACTTGTGTGCTCCCGGCATCCCTTGCAGCTCTTTGGAAGATGCTTCCCCAGCTCAGGTAGCAGAGCCCTCCTTATCGACCTTTGTGCAGTGGATCTCAAACCTTGTTCTACTCCAACATGTCAGCAAGGCTGGGATATTCCCAACAGTGACAGAGACCCAGCTGAGCAGCCACTGTGCATCCAGGAGGGGCACGAGTCATAGGGAGCTTGAAAAATCCCTGAGTCCATGCTGCCAAGCCACGGTTCTCCTCTCTCCCTCTCATTCCCCCACCTCTCCACGAAGCTTGGCTATTTGGCACATTTGTGCCAAACATGAAAAATAGCCATTGCATCCCTGGGCTTCACACCTTCCAAAGCAGGAGCAACCTCGCTTTGCTGAACATAAACTATCTACGAAGCCCTTAGTTTGTGACATTTCATTTAATTAACACGATACTTTCATAATGTCAGTGTTGTTGTCTCCATGTAATAGATAGAAAGCACAGACACGTTAAGTGCCCAAGGTCAGTCAGCTAAGAAGTACTTAGCAAGACACAGGTCCGAGCCCAGCTCCAAAAACCACGCTTTTAACCACTACTCCACTGCCTCTAATAAGGAGTCTCCCATAAGACTCTGGCTTAGCTGAGCCAAAATCACACTTTCCCTTTGGCCCTGTACAAATAAGACTGAATTAATTAGGGAAAGCCATTCCTATGGTAATGGATAGAAGCGTGCATGCAAATGCATGTGCGCTTCTGTAATTTTATATTTCATTGATGCTTTTACTGATAGTAAATCTAGCTCTTTTTGGCTTTATTTCCACTGTAGCAGAAAACCCCATTTCTAGCAGATTGCCATGCCCCTGAGCTGTGGGGTGTCTGGTGAATTGCCAGCATCCGTCATCTGTTAAGTCTGACATGGTGGCATGTGCTGTTTCTCCTAGCTAGTCCTTGGATCGGGCTGGTGTCTTAGTCCAACAGGGCTGGTCTTCTCACAATAGAAATTTCCCATTTCTCCATCCAGAATCAATTTGTTACTTTCTAACTTGGATTGCGTTCGTTTTGCATGAGTTCCCATCTTGGGTCTCACTGTATGAAACTTCAGAACCTAAACACCAGATTGCTCTATGAAGTTAGTATTCAGCTCCCACTGAACGAGGACATATGGCATGTGCCCTCTCTCCCCAGAGGTATCACAAAACATTCTTCTAATATTTTCCAGAGGTCCAAGAAAATAAAAAGCGAGCTAAGAATGTGAATGGCACACATTGCTTGCGGGTACATTCTGCTGCGTTTGGAAGGATGAATATGTATTACCAAGGGTGACTATGCCCCTCCTCTGCTAATCATATCCTGTCACAGGCAAGATTTATCTACAACAATGGACACAATAACGATGTCTTTCTGTGGTCCTGTTCCAGCATAGTCTTTGGCAGCTAAGTCCATTTAGATTTCTGCCCATGTTCCAGGAGTAACTTCGTGAGTGGCCTCTGGGGCATCCGGGACATGCTAAAGGAAGTTAGTGGACTGTGACTCCAGCTGGAAGAGATATGCTCTACTTTGAAGCTGTTTTGTGGAGCGTTTTGAGGCCCCATAGCAAACTCAAAAAGCAGAAAAGCACTAATGACCAGTCAGAGCACAAGTAGAGGGCGCAATGTGAGATGCCCTTCATCCCTAACTTTCCTGGCTCTGTGTGGACTAATGACCACACGAGCCAAGGGTAGGGGTGATATAGTCATGAGCAGGGATGGTGCCCCCGGTGGCTCTTGGTCCTCTTCCCCACCTGCACCACTGGAATTGCTTAGTGATATAGGCACCAGAGCTGAATTAAAATCCTTGCTGCGGATGCTTCTCTCTCTCCCTCTGCCACCTATAAGCCTAAGGATGTGTGCAGCCAAGATGCTGGCTCTAGCAATGAACGTAAGCAGGCTCAAACCCACCAGAACAAGCTGAGACCTTAGGGTCACCAAAATGCATTGCTTCCACCTAGAAAATCCTCAAAATTCATAATAACCTCAACAAAGCAACTATGTGTCTATAGTTTGAAAGCATTTCCGTCAGAACTGGGATTTGGAGGATGCCTTGTGCTGAAGCTTAGATCACTGCTCTTGGCTAGCCGATTACTGTTTCCTTCCTGAGGAGCCTCTGGCTCCTGACAGCCATGGGACCTTTGTCAAATTCAAAATAAAATTCCACTGGGAACCGTTGGACAAGGCACTGTGGAATACCTCAGTTCTCTGCTCTCTGCTCTTGGCAGTTATCTCTTTATGGAAGCGGCTAAGATTGGGCTTTGTTAGGATTACTTGGTAAACAAAGGGTGTGTTACTAACTCCTTTTTGCTGGTGTTGGGGGTGGTATTCCTGTCATTGTGCTAACTGCCACCATCCTCTGGAGTTTCCACAGTATGTGCAGAGCACCTCCTAGTTCAGGCTCATGCTGGGCCCTTCTGGGGTTACAGAGAGAGACAAGACACAGCCTCATACAGAGAACTTTACCCACAAACAAGGATTGCCGTGAAATTCAATGAATGCTATGGGAACTCAATGAATGCTATGGGAGAGGACTGCTTGGGAGCTGCCTTTCCTTCTCCATACACTCTTTTTCTAAATCCTTCAAAACACAGCAAATAACAGCAACAACAAGAGAAACCATGTGAGCTCAGAACAGCCCAATCTTTGCTAGCCATTTCCACACCACCACCTTTTTTTGAGGCAGGGTCTTGCTGTGTCACCCAGGCTAGAGCGCAGTGGCAAGATCATATAGCTCATTGCAGTCTCAAAAGTTCTGAGCTCAAGTGATCCATTCTCCTGCCTTGGCCTCCCGAATAGCCAGGAGTATAGGTGCACACCACCATGCCTGGCTAATTTTTTTGTTTTTATTTTTTGTAGATGGGTCTCACTATGGTGGCCCAGGCTGGTCTCAAACTCTTGATCTCAAGTGATCCTCCTGCCTCAGCCTTTCGAAGTGCTGGGATGATAGGTGTGAACCACCGTGCCTGGCCCATTTCTTTTTTTGACAAGCATTCTGCTACACTCGCTGAGTGAGGGGTGCAGTGGGCAGAAGACTGGCCTGAGTTGAGAATCACTAAGTTAAACAAGACAGCTGTCTCCAAACCATTTTTAGCACAAACACCAAAAGTTGGATTTAATTGAAGTTTGTGAAATTTGAAAATTTCCCTCTAGTAGTTTGGGTTCTAACCTTGGGTCACATTTAATAAGAAGGCAGCCTTATAAATTGATTTCCCATAGTCAAGGAGGAAGACAAAGTTTTCTGTTGCTGCTGTTTTTGTTGTGGCAAAGAGGGTTCTGTAAAAGGTCAAGAACGTAATTTTAAAAACAAGCAAGCAAACGGCCTGTGTTCCCCTCACCAGTCATCAATCAGGTCATCTAGGACTCTTCTCAGTACACTCAAATGTAGAATTCTTGAAGACAAGGATCAGGTCTCGTTCCCCTCTGAATCCACCAAAGAACCCTGCATCCCGCTGCTTGCTGAATAATTACACAGGCACAGCAGTCCTCAGAGTTCCAGGTATGTAGGAAGGCAAATTCGTTATGTAAGAGTCGATTTCTTGCCAAGTGTTTTCACTTAAAGCAGACACTTATATTCTTATTCTTATGACACACAATTAGTCCTAACACCTGTTTTCAGGCTCACTTTCTAGACTAGCTACTTTCCTGTAAACCTGTGCTTCTAGGAATTAATTTTTATTATGTGGCTTTTATTATGGATTTTATTATATGGCTTTATAGTTCGACCCTCAAGGAATCAAAAAAGAAAAGGTGCAACATTAATTTGGTGGTCCTCTATGGAGCTTATTGTCTGCTGTGAAATGTGAGTAGATGTAATGGAAGGTTTAATCCTATTACAAAAGGTTCTATAGTGGAAATCCACAAGGTCTTTGTTCCTAGTAAGCCCTAGGTTTGCTGCCCTCTTCCCCTCAGCTCTAGGCTAAGGACAGAACCTGTTTCCTTGGCCTGCTGGGAGCCAACACACCCTCTGGCCCACTAGGGATCCGGCTTCTTGTCTGACTGGCTGTAGAGAGGGTTCAGCCCTCCTGTGCTGTACACCAGCCCTGAGGATTGAGTGCTTTAAAATTACTCCTTCAAGGGAAAAGAGCAGCAAATGGCAAACATGAGGAATCACCAAGCTAAGAAACCACTTTCTTTTCTGACTAGCACGGTCCTGTCCATCCATCTCCTTTGTGGAGGTGGTGAAGGGAACGGCAGCTTTTATTTTTCAGCCTCACAAACGTCCCTTCTTGCTCTCTGGCCCTGCCTGGGATTGCTGATGGTTATCCAGGTAGGCAGTGCAATGGTCTAGATTCCCTGCCATCCAATGGCACCTGTTAAGCCAGATAGGAAATTGCTCATGTATTCCAACCTGAGATCTGCTTTATCATAATTTTTTAGTGATTTATGAAAAGCAGAATCCAGAAACACTTGGGTTTTTAGTTTTCCTCTTGATTAAGTATTTTCAAGTTTGCAGACAAACTCTACAGGAGCCTCTTAAGAAGCAGCTACTTAAAGAGACCCTGTGGTCTTATAGGATGTAGAGCGTCTACAGTGAAGAATCTCTTCACACGTGAATCATGTCACTTTCTCATTTTCTTATTTATATTTGCCCTCACATTTTAAATTTCCCTGTCACCCAGGCTGGAGTGCAGTGGCATGATCTCGGCTCACCGCGGCCTTCACATCCTGGGCTCGAGCAATCTTCCTGCCTCAGCCTCCCAAGTAGCTGGGATTACAGGCACGCAACACCATGCCTGGCTAATTTTGGAATTTTTTAGTAGAGTCAGAGTTTCACCATGTTTACCAGGTTGGTCTCAAACTCCTGACCTCAACTGATCTGCCCACCTGGGCCTCCCAAAGTGCTGGGATTACAGGCATGAGCCACTGCGCCCAGCCCACATTTTAAATTTCTAATGTTAAATATTTTGGTTTACCTCTTCCTGCAGTGCCTTCTCCTCCTCTACCCCCCAGTCTTGCTGGTGGTCTGGTGTTTATGTGGGAACATCCAGTACACTAAGCCCTGCACTTAGCCACAGTCTGACTCACACCCCATCATGGCCTCTCTGCCCAGCCATAGCTGATCCTTCAGCCACGATCTGAAGGATCAACAGAGACAGTGGTAGGGGCATCCTTGGGCTTCTAGTCCTTCTCCTTCCTGAGGGAAAGCTGTGGGAATTCCTCTGGACAGCTGCATATCTGCAGGAGGGGAGCCTCGAAGCAAAGGGTTTACCTTCTACCGCCTGAGCCCCAAAGCCTTCTAGTGAGGAAAAGAGGCTTCAAAGTCATTCTCTTGTGATTTTATTCAGCAGATAGAATCATAATTCAGTGTTCATTGTTTTTTGAGGCTGGCACCATGAAAAGGGCTGGAAATGTCATGGAAGAAGCATTTTTAGAAGTAAATGACATGAAAAATTTCTAAAATGCCCTCAAAACATATTAATGACTGGCCTGTTGATTCGCTTAGAGGCAAATCATTTTCTTGCTATAACCATATAACTAGGAAATCCCATTTAATTCACCATATTGAAGATTTTAAAGACCTGTTTTAAAAGCGTATTCTTAATTAACCTCATTACTATTTGTGTCCATTGGATCCACAAAATTGGCTCTAATGGATCCACAAAATTGACTTTTATCTATAGGTAAAAAGCTAGGCTCTCTCAATTTCACACAAGAAATAAAACAGCAATGCTTGTGAAGTCGTGGTTTACTGTGATTATGAAGTATGCATTGTGCCCTTTAATAATAGACGTGTTCTTGTGTTTGTCTCTACAGTATCTTAGCAATGTTAGCACAAATTAGGAAGCTGTTTAAAGGTAGCGATAGGACTAAATCCTTCCTCCTACACCTGTCACAGAGGAGGGGCAGTGTTGACGGTGCTATGCAGAGAGCAGGGGCCTTGAGAACTGAGAGTCTGATTTTAATGCTGCCATGTGGCTTTGGGGAGTGAGTGGATTCTCACTGTCACTTTCATTTTCTTTCAATGAAACGAGACACCCCATAAAAGGGCCCAGGGGTCCCAGGAAGCTCTGAAATAGATTTTATCCCTTTCTTTACACCTTGACCATATCATCCATGAGTTCTCCAGCAGAACTCACACAGGCTCTCACACTGAACTGAGGTCTAAAGAGCGTGGACTGCTTTCTCTAGAGTCTTCAGTGTGATTGTGTGAACATTCAGAGAACAGTCACAGGTGCCCTGGGTGGATAGAGAACCTCAGGAGAGACTTGAGGCAACGGGAATGGCAGAAACTCATCTCTGCTTTAGGCCGCCACTACATCACTTCAGAGGGAAGGGGAGGGAAGAACAACCTGGAAGCAGGAAGAGCTAAGACGCAGTAGCAATGCTAGTGTTGTTTTGTTTTGTTTTGTTTTCAGAGCAGGAGTGGAAGTTTATTAAAAAGCTTTCCAACAGTGAGAAAAGGAAGGAAAGTACACTTCGAAGAGAGATAAGTGGGCAACTTGAAGAGCAAAGTGCCAGTGCTAGTGTTTTTATTACAAGTATGGCAACATAAACAGCCCAAGATTTCTCTATGCCAGCAGACTTACCGTCCTTATACTTGGTCTGTCCATCAACATTTACATATTTATTTGTTTACCAAAAAAAAAAAAGAAAGGAAATCCTTTCACAAAATATTTACAACATGACACAAGATCTATGGGGTAGGAAGTTGATCCCTGACAAAATAATTCGATAGATTTGAAGTTAAGTTTTATGTTAAAAACACAAACTTTCTCTTTGCAGATCGACTGCTAGAGAGTATGCTCTGAAAATTATCAAGAAAAGCAAATGTCGAGGCAAAGTATGTATAAATTTTTTTCTTATGAGATAGAGTGTTCAAGAGGTCAAAAGAAACACAAAGATCAGCTCCCAAATAAACTTAAGTTCACCCTAAGGGTTAAATTTTGCTGGAATAGAATGTTATACACTTACTAGAATATAACTTTATGTATATCCCTGGGATAAAAGTTATTTGGAATGATTATATATGATTTATCTTCCTTATCTTTTTGTTTGTTTACTCTCTTCCCTTCTTCATGTGATGTAAGTTTCATCTCATTCTTTGCTATGAAACTGTAGTTATCATGATAGGTTCTGAATTCATAAGCATTATGTAAGGACCTCCACATCAGTTGGCAATTCTAGGCTATATCTGAATATCAGAATACAAGACAGGCTCATTACATTTTACCAAAATGCATCTCTCTTGACCCTTACATAGTATAGTTGTACTCATTTGAGTTAGCTCTCCATATGTTTTGTGTGGAAGCTGATGAAGATAACTTTTCCTTTGGACAGGAGCACATGATCCAGAATGAAGTGTCTATTTTAAGAAGAGTGAAGCATCCCAATATTGTTCTTCTGATTGAGGAGATGGATGTGCCGACTGAACTGTATCTTGTCATGGAATTAGTAAAGGTGTGTATTTTGGAAAAAAAAGTAAGCCTTTATTGATGGCACCACGCTTGCCTATATTCTAGAGCTCTTTTCCTTATTTTCTCTCACCAATATTCAGGTTCTCATTTCTGGATATTGGCCCAGTGATTAGGAATGTTCACAGGAGAACTGTACACAAGGACTCAAGTCCCAGCCTTGACACAAAGAGGCCCATGACCTTGGGTCTACCTCTTTAAGCCTCAGTTTCAGCATATGTAAAGTGAGAATACTAATAATACCTGCTTAATGGTGTTTTGTGGGGATGAAGAGATGGCTTCCACCAGTTTGTGTGACACACAAAGTATTAGGTACCAATACAATTGTCGTCGTTGTAATGGAAAATCATTCACTTTTCCATGAACTATATCCAAAGGTACCAGCCATCTTGTAAAAACAAGCTTTAAACTTTTAGTCACCAACATAATGGGAAAATAGTGCTGTCCTAATAATGATGTGAATAGCGCACTGACTTTCAGTGAATGTCGTCATCTCATCCTGTCACATAATATTACCTTCTTATTCTATGAAAACATAGACTATGGGGATAGCCAATTGATGATGGTTGAATGGAGATGAAAAGTCTCTTACTCTCCTTCCATACATTTGACATTTTCAGGAATTAGAAGTTTTAAAAAATGGCATGCTTCATTTTCATGAAGCTGTTGTGTTCTCAAGTCTTTTCTAGTATATTCAAGAAATTGAAGGTTTTTTTTTTTTTGAGACAGAGTCTCGCTCTGTTGCCCAGGCTGGAGTGCAGTGGTGCAATCTCGGCTCACTGCAAGCTCCACCTCCCGGGTTCACGCCGTTCTCCTGCCTCAGGCTCCCGAGTAGCTGGGCTCCCACCACCACGCCTGGTTAATTTTTTTTGTATTTTTAGTAGAGACGGGGTTTCACCGTGTTAGCCAGGATGGTCTCGATCTCCTGACCTCGTGATCCGCCCGCCTCCCAAAGTGCTGGGATTACAGACGTGAACCACAGCACCAGGCCCAAACTGAAGGTTTAAGTAACGTCTACCTTGGTTGGAGAATGTTACACCGCCTTCTGCATCAGCTGTGAGCACCGCCAGGGGGCGCCTCAGGCTCCCAGGGCATGTTTGGAATCCCCACACTGCTGACTTGAATGTGAGGTTTTCTCTTAAACATTCAAGACAAGGAAAGCATTTAGTAAGCTAATCTGTGATGATATGATAAATGTTCATTCTAAGGTCTTTAAGTTTTTGTTGTTCAGAGTTGCTTCACCTTAGACATATCGGCATTTTTTTTAACTTAGTGATTATTTGTATTTATAGGTGAAACCTATTTTTAGTCTACTTCAAATTAGGACTTGTTTCTTTCAAAGAATGGGAGCCTTTTTGTAGTAACAAGATTATTGTCATGTTTGAGGCTGAGGGAGGTAAAAATGTTAAATATCAGTTACAGAAATAAAGAAAAGTCGGCCTGGCACGGTGGCTAACGCCTGTAATCCCAGCACTTTGGGAGGCCGAGGCGGGCAGATCACGAAGTCAAGAGATCCAGACTAGCCTGGCCAACGTGGTGAAACCCTGTCTCTACTAAAAATACAAAAAATTAGTCGGGCGTGGTAACGGGCGCCTGTAATCCCAGATACTCGGGAGGCTGAGGCAGGAGAGTCTCTTGAACCCGGGAGGCGGAGGTTACAGTGAGCCGAGATCACACCATTGCACTCCAGCCTGGGCAAAAAGAGCGAAACTCTGTCTCAAAAAAAGAAAAAAAAAAGAAAAAGAAAAGAAAAGTTGATTTCATTTGAGTAAAGAAAGAATATGAAGATTTTCCTGTTGGTGCTTTATTATCAAATTATCTTTTTACCAACATTGTAAATTATACTTCCCCTAGTACCAAGGAGCCTTTTTCCAACAATGTTAATTTTCAGACTACCAACTTCAAGCCATTCTGTTGCCCTTCTGTGTGCTGTTAGAATTTGAATACCCCCTGTTATTATTGCCTTAACCCCACTGTTGGCTGATTTTTGGAGTGCTGAGACTAAATGAAATTTCAAGATGGCAAAGGCTCAGGCACTCTGAATGGGGCATTTTGTGAGAAATCTTAGTCTGACTCTCAATCGTGTGCTTGGTTAGGTGACTATGTGAAGGTTCTGGTTACACTTAACTGCCTTTTTGAATTCTCTCTGCATCACCCTAAAAAGGCTATAGAAGGTCTCGGTAGCCCAGCGCTGGGACTCTCAATTGTGCTGCAAGATCGTACCCTTCGATTTAATCTCACCCAGAATGCCCTGAGGGCAGCTCGAGAAGCTTCCCAGGGAAGTGAAGGCCAGCCCCAGGCTTGACTTGAAAGACTCCCAGGACTTTTCCACTGAGACATGTGGGCGGGTGTGCTTCTCAAACCCTCAGGGCCCAGTGATGTGCCAAAGAATGCCTGAAGCTCCTAGACAAACAAGGCTCCTGTTCCGGAAGGCAGTGGATCAGCAGTTAACGAGAATGAAATTCCATACTGATCAGGCGCAGGACTTTAGCCTTCTGCCTGCCAGAGGCGGTGCACATGCAGGCTGCCTATGTGTTCAGAGGAAGGCAGGCCTTGCGGAGGAGGAACTGGGCCTGCAGCTGGGCCCTGAGAGAGCAACGGGAATTAGAAAACTGAAGGGGAGGGGACGGGACACTTCAGGAAGCGGGCTCTCATGAGGACAGGCTTGGGGACAGACATCTTGGCCTGTTCGGATGGCTAGGGAAGAAATATCCTGGAGCATGAGGGTCACTGTTTTAAGTAGTGGCAAGAGAGGAAATTAACAGGGTGGAATGAAGGTTGGGGCAGAACATAGAAAGCCTCCTCCTTTCGGCTGTGGGAAAAGAATGGTGATTTCTTGAAGAAAGAAAGAAAATAGTGACATAATGTGTGGGAAGGTAGCAGTCGGTGTGCAGGATGCTTTGGATAAAGAACTCACGGAGGGAAGCAGAGCGGATTGTGAGACCACATGACAACAAGCCAGGGATGAGGCAACAGGAGCGTTTGGCGGAGTAGGAAGGCCCAGATGGCTGCGAAGGAGAAACGTGTCCAAGAGAGGACGGATAAGACCTGTTGACTGCGTTGTTGAGGACAAAGAAGAAAGGAGCCAGATGCAGTGGCTGACGCCTGTAATCCCAGCACTTTTGGGGGGCCAAGGCAGGAGGATCACTTGAGGTCAGGAGTTAGAGACCAGCCTGGGCAACAAAGCAAAGCCCCATCTCTACAAAAAAAAAAATAATAATAATTAGCCGGGCATGATGACCTGCTCCTGTGGTTCCAGCTACTCTGGAGGCTGAGACAGGATGATCACTTGAGCCCAGGAGTCTGAGTGCAGTGAGCCATGATTGTGCCACTGCACTCCAGCCTGGGTAACAAAGCAAGACTTTGTCTCTTATAAAAAGGGGCATTACAAGATGCCAGGAACCCAGGTAACTGGGACTGGTGGAATCTTTGCAGGGTCTCCATATACAGCCACACATGCCCTGTGGTGGAACTCCAGGGGTGCTGTTCACATAGAGCACTGTGACTGTCCCACCTCCTCAAGTGGTACACAGACAACCTGAAAACCTGTGTGTAGCAGCCTTACCTTTCAGAGAAGCAGAAAGTTGAAAAAACTATTTGTTTTGAAAAAAAAAAAAAATCTGTGTGCTTAGCTTGAGAACTGTTGCAGCTTCGGGGATAGTGAGAGAAGCCTCCAGAGTGGAGACTGTACAGGGGCGCAGAGGGCCCAGGCCCAAGAGGCAGATCTGAAAATCATCAGCCTACAGGGACTATCTTTTGCTTTAGCTATTTAAAAAAGAACAACTGAGTTCCTTAGCACATTAGGTAACAGACGATCACAGTTGGTTACGGTGCGTAGCAGTTTGGTGCACTGTAGGCAAGAATGGTGCACATACTGATAGTAAACCAGACCCCGATTCTCTGAAAGGGTTTTGAATAAATGGTACTTAGGTTGAAGCTTAAAAATCATTGCATTTTACCAAAAAGCAGTATCTTTTAAAAGGAACAAGGGAAACAAAAGTTCAGATGAATAACAGTCCTAGAAAACTTTCTTTGAGATTTCCCCCCTCTTCCTCCCTCTTTTATCTGGCTCATCTTTGAAATGGCAGTTTCTGGTCCTTTTCTTTGTTCCTTACAAAGAAGCACAATATTGAAAAAGAAAACACTACGCCCACTCCCAAAGAGCTAAATGTAGCATATGAAGGGGATTGTGTGTGTGTGTGTGTGTGTATGTGTGTGCGTCTTAATAATTTCACTAGGCAGTAGAACATTTTCAATGTGCAGTTTGCGGTATTACCTGTTCCTCACTGGAGGAGGTTAAGGATTACGAATTTGAACTCTGGCTGGCAGTCAATGTGAGGCAGGTGGCACGTGCCACTGGGTTCTTCACGTGTCACAGGCCTCCGCCCTGGGGATCCAGCTGCATCTCCTCCTCCCCTAGCTGGGAGCTGTGGAAATGGCCATGTGTCTGGTGGTGGAGAATCCTCACCCTGCCCCTGTCTTTGAGCTCTGGGGGAAGTGCCGCTGGCTTTTGTAGTGGGTGGAGAAATCACCATTCAGCCTTTGGGCCTTTGAGAGGGAAGTGGCAGGAAAAGCCCTTAGGAACCCAAAGATTCCACATCCATTCTTTCTGTCCTTTGTGGTTTGTGAGTGGCCTCAGCAGGTGACACCACTGGCCCATCTGTTAATGTGCTGCTCCACCTTCTGTTCTCTTCTCAGGGGGGAGACCTTTTTGATGCCATTACTTCCACTAACAAATACACTGAGAGGGACGCCAGTGGGATGCTGTACAACCTAGCCAGCGCCATCAAATACCTGCATAGCCTGAACATCGTCCACCGTGATATCAAGCCAGAGAACCTGCTGGTAAGAGGAATTCCACCTGCAGGGCATCCTGAGTTCCAAGGACTCATAAATGAATATGAATATTTCTTTTTTCTTTTCTTTCTTTTTTTAAAAAATTACCTGAAAGGTTAATTTCCAATTAGCCTTCAGGATCTAGTTGGAAATTAGCCTTTTAGGTTGATCTAGATGAGTTAATGCACCCTTAAAAACACCTGATTTATTAGCAAATAAAAACCAGGCACAAGAATGGGAATCGAACTCCTGAAGGGTAGGCCTGTATTGAATACCTCAGGCTAGGACAAGATAGTAACAAGTTACACAGACACGGATGTCATTTATCTCAGGCGCTTTTATGTTAGAAAGTTTTTACTTGCAAGTTGGGGCAACACAGTGAGACCCCCATCTCTACAAAAAAAAGAAAAAATGTTTTAATTAGCCAGAGATTATTGTAGTGTGTGCCTGTAGTCCCAGCTTCTCAGGAGGCTGAGGTGGGAGGATCGCTTGAGGCCAGCAGGTCAAGGCTGCAGTGAGCTATGGTCACACTACGGCACTCTAGCCTGGGTGACAGAGTGAGACCCTGTCTTAAAAGGAAGAGAGAGAGAAAAGAAAGAAAAGAGAAAAGAAAAAAGAAGTTTTTACTTGGGGGAAAAAAAGGAAGCCCTTTTAGACTTTTTCTGAGTCTCCCAACTTTACAGCTCAATAATGTGATCCAAACCCTAAAAGAAAAAGAATTATGATGGGTTTTTAAGACTCTAGCCCCTTAGCATAAAAATAATTTCGAAAAAGACTAATTTTTTAAAACAAAGACATCCTTCCCCCTACTTTACACGATTTGGTTTGCTTTTCTTGTACTCCACATCCCTGTGGAAACCTTGAGAGATCTCCACAAAAGCAAATGGGGGTCCTTCCTCACCCAGTTATTAAGGGAAATGCAGAGAAAAAAAGAGAAGGTAGAGACTTAGTATGCGGCACTTCACTGGGAAATATGGGAGTAATGTAAATGTTGCTGGCTCTTCAGGCTGGAATTTTAATGAAATGTATTTCATTTCTATATACTGTGTGTGCATATATAGATATATATGTTTTCCCAATGATGCTAGTTCTTCTTTTACTTTCATTATCCACCCCTGAGCATCATGTATAATATATGACTTCTGTTACTTTGCCCGTCTCTTCAGAAATCTGGGAAAAGAGGATTTTCTTTCTAAAGTAGTGTTTCTCCAGGGTGGTCTAAAGACTCCCTGAATCAGAATTATTCCCAGATACCTGTTAAAAAGGCAAATTTCTGGGCCTGGATGCAGCCCTACCAAATCAGAATCTGGTGACTGAAGACAGCTTGCAGAAATCCACGTGGCAGCCAGTTCCCCAGGTAACCTGCATACACACTCCAGTCTAAAAGCACATGAGCCACCCAACTCCCATGACACAAACAAAAGCTAGTAAGATCTGCGATGATGGAGAACCATCTATGTGCTTGGCCCTGTGCTGACGTCTTTATGGTCGTTATCTCATTTCATCCTCGCAGCAACCATATCGGGTAAGTTCTATTACCGTGTCATTTCATAGGTAAGGAACATAGGTACCTAGAAGTTAAATGACCTGCCCACAGTTGGAACAGTTCTTAAGTAGAAGAGTCAAGGTCTCAACCTAATTCCGACTTCCAGGGTCTCAACCTAATTCCGACTTCCAGAGCCTTAGCTCTTATCACTACACTACAGTAAGCTCTGTGTTAAGGATAGGTACTGAGTACTTGCTGTGTCAGGTACTGTGCCAGGGAACAAGAGAGACACATGTCTTCATGAAGTTGACACTGAAGCCGAAAAGATAGGCATTCAAGAAATAAATATGCACACAATTAGTTCATTGCAATTATGCTGGTGATCTTGTAGCTACTGGCTAATAAAAGGCAGCCGAGGTCAAGTGACTGAGCCCTGACTTAATTGCACCTTAAATTCCTCATCTCCACAGTAGCCTAAACATTCTCTTCTGCATAGTTGCCTCCATCAGCTGCAGCAATTTTCTCTCATCTGCACTCATTTTTCCTGTGTCTTGAATTATATAGGATTGTCTCATGGGACCGGACTTAAAACTAGGCCTTTGTTTAAAAACTTCTCTAAGCTCCCAAACTTCAGCGATGGAAAACTAAAGTTTCATTTCCTTTCCTTTTTGATTTTGCTGCTCAGTTTTGTGTACCCATTGTTCACTTACTCCTCGCTGAAGTGTTATCTATTTCTGTAAATACCATAAGTGATTACATAGGAGTGCATTTTACTAAAATTACAATTTATGGGATACTTCTAACGTATTGTGCTGATTCAAACATATTTTACTTTAAATTACCATAAAAGAAAAAAAAGTTCTCTCCTTTCTTTTTCCCTTCTCTTCTAATTTAAGAAGCTGAACTATATAGAGAAGCAATTGCAGTCATTTATAATATAGGTTTAAAATATCTATATGAAAAACTAAAGAGATTTTATTATCCATTACAGTGATTTCTGACTGTAGGGATTAGGGGTTGGTGAATTTTGTAGGGATAAATCTATTACAGGATAAAATAGTTCAAATAAGTTTAGCAAAACTTAACACAACTTATTCTGTCCTGGTTTAACAAAACTAGGATGACGTCACTAATTGCACAGGAGACGACTGTTGATTTCACATTCAGTTGAGAGTTGTGGAAATAACAGAACTATCACAGAAGGTAGACCCTCACACACCCAGGATTTATAGTCAGACGGACAAAAGTTCAAAACCAAGTGGTTCACTCTTCCACTGACTGGTCTTATGACCTTGAGGAAGGTACCTCCTTCAAGCCTTCTTTAAGGGGATTTGATGAAATAAAGAGATAACACATAACTATTAATTTCCTTTTTAAAATTTCCCCTTTCTTTGTAATTAAAAATGAAATTAAATTATTCCTAAAAATAAAACGGCCTAACAATAATGTTGTATGTAGTGAAAATCACTTTTTAACCCTTTTTTTATATTGCTTTAGAAATTTTACTATTCACCCATGCATGGATTTGCCAGCTCATGGCAAAATGTAAAGCTATAGACTATTTTTGGAAAATGTTATAATAAAGTTAATGTAAAGATTTGGAATCCGTTTACTTATGATAGGGAAACTTACCAAATATATAAAAAGACCTCACAGCATACTTTGTTTTACTACTTTATTAAAAGGCTTATAAAACCCTTCTAAATTATAAGACTGACAACAAGATTTCTGTTAGCTAAGTGTTAGATTAATATTCGTTATAACTAGCAAAGTATTTTTAATACCTATCTAATTCAGCTATAGATTTCATTGTATGCAGTATAATTGTGTATATATAACTTTTAGCGTTTTTTATTTTTAATTTTTATAGAACAGCATAAAAATGTAGCTTGGCCTTAAGGATCTATATTGATTGTATGAATGATTTATTTAACTCTAGTGTTTGGTCAGGTTAAAGTATTTTGATGAGAAAATGTGATTTGACTTTCAGGAATGTTTCCAGCCACATTTTAGGTGAAAACTAGGTACTGACCCAATGAAAAATACCCCTTATTGATTTATTATTGTATTTAACTAAAGTTTTTCCCGCTAAATTGATCATGCCCATGATTTTATATGGTTCTTGTTGCTTCACTTGTTGTCATGCCTGGTACTTAATAATTGTATGGACAGGTGGACGTCAGAGTGGATGAGCGGAGTGAGTGAGTGAGTGAGTGAATGAGTGATACTTCTTTAAACAGAGGACAGAGCCGCCTGGCAAGCCCAAAACATTCCCAACTGGCCTGTTACACGGAGTTCTCACACTGGCCTCAGTATAAACTTCACTGAGCAGTGGGAGAAAGCATGATGCTTCCCCAGATGGGCTTAGGCATGGGACCACTGTGTATGTATGCGTGGATGTGTGTATGTGTGTATGTATGCCATGATAGTTCATGACTAAAGGAACTTTTTGCTTAATTAAAAAAAAAAAAAAAAAAAAAAAAAATTAATACCTTCAGTTTACACAAGTCACCACTAGATGGCAAGCTTGTACCCTTAGCAACAAAAACCATCATTAGGAGCTTGTTTCTTCCAGGGACCTGGGCAGGTCTTTCAAAAATGTGTACACAGATGCCTCCTCCTTATGAAAATTAAATCTTTACTAACAAAACTATAACTCACATCACTAGTTTTTATTAGATTCCGGAAACAAGCATAGTCATTTTCTTCAAATATAAACGTTCAAAAATCTTTTCCCTCCCAAAGTCCCCAAGAGCCTCTAGGAGAAAAACTGCCTCTCTTTGGCTAGAAACTCTGTGTTCAAGTGTTTGTGCCTGCTCCCAGCTGCCCATCAAAATGACACGTGCAACTCATGGTCCTTGTTTTCACGCAGTGGATTATATCTAGCAATAAGCTAGTCCTGTTTCACCAAAGTGACGATGACAGGTTGTGCTCCAGCTCTTCCTAGTTTTCAATTCCATGCTCACAAGATAACATACTTCCTTCACCTTAATCCCATGACTCTTAATTCCTCAAATAAATCCATTTGGTGATGGGATAGCTAACTGCACTGTTGGACAAGATGAGTCCACAGAGAGAATGGGTCTAAGGTCATGGACAATAACACAGAACTTGAGCCCTCAAAGTGTATTGACTAATGGATTGGAGGTTACCCAGAGGAAGGGAGCCAGTGATCTTCTGTGAGTCTGATGCCAATACTGCCCTACTCATGAGTATCAGTGACTACAAATGAAAATGAATTATACCAGTGACAGAAGTGAGATCCAAAAATATTTTTGGCTCTATAAAGGTTCAAAATTGGTAAGAAGAGATTAAACAAGAGATAGACATAAATCCCTAGAGACTAAGTTAGTTTTGGTGTAGTTGTGTTATTGGCAATTACAGAAACAATAGTGGAATACGTGGCCTGACTGCAGGTCCAAAGGCTATTAGTTGACCTGGAGAAGGCTGATCGTTCAGTGTGAGTCTCAGTATGACAAGGCTGCTAAAAATATTCCTATGCCCTTAGACTTCTTTCCCTGAA